CTTGCCGGCAGGAGTTCTCGATGATGGATGAAGCATTAACTAGTGGTGGTATCCAGGAACACTCGCGAGCTGCCTCGACAGAAGCCTTGACAGCTGACAGGGCGCGGAGGGTGCGAAGGTTCAATCGAAGGGTGCACCGCCGCCTTGGCTCTGATGTCTTGTAGAATATTTAAGACCATCTTCCGTACTGTTCGTTGTGCTACACCAACGGCAGGCTAATGCCCCCGTCCTGTTGGAGGAGAACGCTCCTCCTCGCTCTTCTTCCCATCCACTTTCCAATAAAGTCGATGTTCGTAGGAGTTTTCTTCTTTTGCCGGGTGCGGTGGGAAGCTTCATCAAAGTTTCGCGATTATCGTGATGGAGAAACGTGTCGTTGTCTCGTCTCTCGGATCAGCAGATTAAGTTCCTTCTTTACAGCGCGGACGGTCGGTCTTCTTTAGGGAAATGCAATCTTCCACCGATAGAGAGAGTTGGGTTGGAAACTGTCGGACACACCGGTGAAGGGTAATTTGAATACATCGACGGGGGGATTGTTTCGTTATTGCAGCAGAGAAAAATTAGCGCAGGGTAATTTACGTGTTTGTTGGAGAAGAGGGAGATTTATAGACTTGAGGATCGAGAAGGAAAGAAATTCTTTTTTTTTCGAATTATTTTGGACACATTGGTTAAGGGTAATTTGCATATATCGATGGAAGATTGTTTCATTATGGCAGAGAAAAATTAGCGAAAGGGTAATTTTCGTATTTGTTGTAGAAGGGGGAGTATGAAGACAGAAAGAAATCCTTTTCTTCCGAATTATTTGGATTTTTATTTTGGAAAAATTAGCGAAGGCTAATTACGTATTTGTATGAAGAAAAAAAGAAAGAAATTATTTTCGGCGAAAATAAGGAAAAAATCGGGAGGAATAATCGTGAATCCAATCCTATTATCATTCCGCTTTTTCGTATCGAAAAAGAAAGAGATTCTTTTCTCCCGAATTATTTCCACCCAAAAATAAGAAAAATCTCACGAGTAACAACATTCCCGCGAAACATTCGACAATTTGTCACTCGAATCCCCGTCCAATCCTTCTATTATCATTCCGCTTTTTCGTGTCAAGAAAGAAAAAAACTCTTCTCTTCCGAATTATTTCCACTCGAAAGATAAGAAAAAAGCATCACACGAGGAATGATATTCCCGCGAAACATTCGACAATTTGTCACTGGAATCCCCGTCCAATCCTCCTATTATCATTCTGCTTCCGGAAACGCGTCCCCTCTCGCCAGCTAATCGTTTAGCTATTTCGAGCCAGGGGCTAACAATTACAAACGGGTGTGCACGGGCATGCAAATGGGTTAATCAGTCGGCCGGTCGTGTGACAAACGTTCTCGTTTAGGTAAAAGCTGAGGCCGCTCGGTTTTCCCGAAAAAAAATCCGCATTCGACACCTTCGAAAACGGTGGCAATCGGCCGGAGTGGCAAGTTTATCCGGCGAACTCCCGTCGGTGACGGTGCGAGAGAGATAGTTGGCGAGATAGCGCGATAAAGAGCGAGACGGCCTATGCAAAATAACAAACGACCTGTTGGCCACGTGGACAGGGGTGTAATTTTTTAAGTTTAATTTTGTGGTCCCGCGTGACAAACGGATGGGCTCTGCTATACGGGAGCGCCACGTCAGTGGCGGTACGCGGGGTATATTTCATGTTGAAAACACGGCTCGTCGTTTCGCTTTTTGATGATATACAGCAACGAACGGTTCTTCGACGAGGCAACTTGCTGATCTGCCGTGTTATGCCACGCAGTGTATATGTGTACGTGTACATACATATACTCTAGCGATCGATCCTTTTCTCTCCTTCGTTTAGGCGCTCTTTACGAACGAGTGGGTGTTCTGTGATATTTATCTTCTCGTTTAAATTCACTCGTTATCCTCTTGGAAGAGTTTTTATCATTTCTGCGAATTTTCTGCGGTAATTTCTAATCGTTCGCCAATTCGTTTGCTTAAGTGATTACTCGAGCGTTTGAGAATTTCTCGCGGAGACTTTTCGATTCGACGTTTCATTTTACGCAACCTAATATTTGTCGAGTATTTTTTTTTTTTTTTTTTTTTGCGTTTCTGCGAATTGTTCACTGTAATTTCTAATCGCTCGCGAATTCATCGCTTAAGTGATTAACGAAGTACTTGAGAATTTCTTTTTCTTTTTCGAAATTTCATTTTATGCAACCTAATATTTATCGAGTTTTTTTTTTGGATACGTATCATTTCTACGAATTGTAATTTCCAATGATTCACGAATTCATTGCTTAACCCTAGAGCGGTCTTCGGGTCTCTTTTGACCCACCGCCTTTTTATATTTTTAGTCATTTTTGCTGTTATCAAGCTTACGTTCCTTAACATTGCTTTAAACGTTTATTGTCTAGGTTCGTATGTCGCGTTGGAAACAAAAATTATTACACGTAAGGTCTTAGGTATTTTTTCACCTAAAAGTCAAAACGAAGAACGCACTAGGGTTAAGTGATTAACAGAGTGTTTGAGACTTTCTTTGTGATACTTTTCAATCCGAAATTTCACTTTACACAACCCAATACTTGTCGAGTTTTCTCCTTTTTTTGGATGCGCATCATTTCTGAGAATTTTTCACCGTAACTTCTAATCATTCGCGAATTCATCGTTTAAGTGATTATTTGAACGCTCGAGAATTCCTCTCGGAGACAATATTTACCGCCGGAACGTCTGCCCCAACGCAATATTTTCTAATTACTTTTTCAAATTTCTCCACACACTCTCCAGTACCTTTACACCCATTTCACAGGGGAAACACAATTACACGCTTGATCGTTAAATTTTTTACCCGCAATAAAGTAACTGGGACGAAGAATCAGTTTTAACGCCATACATCGCCCGCGATAATAATTCAGCTTTCCTTTCTTCCTTTTCTCTCTTTTTTAATTACTTCTCTGTGACGAATTTACCTTTTCACATTTCACCAAAGAAGCGTTCCAACTGGGTGAAACGCAGTTCGTTAGAGTTAAACTTATTCGCGTCGTTACATTACGCCGCACAAATCTTTTTCATCCGTCGTTGGACGGCCTCTGCAAAAAGCGTGTTATTAATCGTTTCTCGCCGCGTTACTTGGAATTCATATTCATACACGCGTATATCGCGTTGCGAACGAGAAGGAGTGGCAGGGTTGGGATGTGGATGGTTCGAGGGAGGAAGCGGCAATGTTCGCGCGAACCTCGAGAGAGCGAGAGAGAAAGAGCTGGAAGAATCACAATTTCAACTTCTTATGTCTTTTATTTTCGCAAATACAGATTTTATTCTTCGTCGCTGATATGCAAATGCAATGGAATTAATGGTTGGTTGTCTCTCCGCAGGAGACGAAGAGTGGGACGACGGGAACGAGCAGAATGTCCTGGAGGTAACCGAGCAGGATAATGAGACGACGGGAATTAAGCGTGAGTGTTACTAAATACTTTTCCGTCGTTGGCAAACGTTTACGTAAATCCAGTCGGTTAGAAGCTCTTTTCCCTTTCCTTGTTGATCAACGAGAAATTAATTAATCGCGATAACGGTTTCTCGTCTCTTTGGGATTTTTTCAGAGGACGAAGAGGAGGAGGAGGAGGAAGAGGAGCTGCAGAGAGCTTTCAGTCGTCATTCCGAGGGTGAGTAGATCATTTTCAACTAATTCATTTACCTTCTAATTCGATCGTAACACTTGGGGATAATTGGAACAGACAAATATTGCTTTTTTTGTATAATTAGTGGGTGTGCTGGTATTCTTTGCATTCACTAGATAAGTGGATTTAATTTCGAGGTACATCGAGCATCGATATTTCTCTTTTTTACGTAATTAGTGTAGATATTTTTTGCATTCACTTGTTACGTACGCAGACTAGCCGACACGGCGGCGACGAGACTTCCGCCTAGCGCGCACCCCCTAGAAGGTCCTTGAGTTTCTCATCGAAAAACTAGGGCCCCCACCACCAAGAATGCAGATTTTTGGCGTGTACAAGGGCATGATTTCCGATGCTTCGGGCCAGAGTCACTCTGAACTTTGAAGTAGAGCAGTATTCTCGTAGTCGACGTCTGACACAAGCAAGATCGGGCTGAACTCCCTTTCGAGCAACCGAGTTTTAATACTTATTTCGGAAGTGTCAACTAGACATTCTTGTCTACGACGCCCCCACGTACTCGCCGTGTAAAGTCGAGAAGGAAGATTCTTGCGCAGTCAAGAATCGACCGGTATACTTTATCTTTAGACCATTGTAAACTTTTGTAAACTTGAAACATTATTATTGGAATATAGTTGTTGTAGAATGACATCCGCCTATATTCAATGAACCATCTCCTTGGTAACATTAGTAACGAATCAGCTAAACTCACAAAGATATACCTTTACCGCTCGAGGTACATATATCTAACATCACGATATGCACAGTCCTCGAAACCTTCCAACTGTTCCATCCTTCGGAGAACGACGTATTAGCCACATACGTTGAACGTTCCAATCGGTCCATTATCAACCAGCATTCCGCTCAGCGTGAGGACACAAAGCGTAATTCAGTGTTAACCCTTTGGACTTCTTCGTCGAGCGTGACTCGACGTCAGTTTTGTTCACAGGTACGAACAAAGTGATTTTTAAATTGCCAGTTTAAATATGTGCTATATTTTGCAATATTTTTTTACCTGGACGAGCAATAGGTACACGTATATATGACCTTTAATGCTATTTTCAGTTGGTTCCTATCAAGTGTCTTTTGAAGTGCATTTCGAATAAAGTTCTTAAAATAACAGGGAGTTATTGAGAAAGAAAGATTTGGATTTCAAAGGTGTTAGAGGTGAAGGTGGTTCAAGTTCGGGAGTGACATGTTGGAATCCGTGGAGGAAAGTAGATATCGATTATATTTGAACAATATAACTTTTATTTTAACGATGACACTTATACTCGCGGACTCCGAATTTACAAGGCGCGAACTTCACGAAGGGAAGTGACACGTTGTGGTTTTCTGCTGTGTACTAGATCGACAGCTCTTATTTTTCGGGTATACTTATAAGGAAGGGATTTGGGGGAGAAGGTGAACTTGGTTCTGGTGACGAATTGCTGGACAGGACTTTGAAGGGACGGCGTTATGGGGTTAATCTTAAGAGTGACTTGGTGACTCAATGTCAATAGGCGGTTGGTTATCTAACAGACACTTGTTAGAGTATAATTGTTTAAATAGTTTATTATAAAAAACTCGACACGCTTACATATCGGAGGTTCGTTCACGACTGAAGACGAACGAGTGCAGAGCCCTAGTCGTAGAGCAAGAGAAAATTGGCGGGCAACGCCCGTCCGCGGATACACAGGGATAACCGAATCACGGATCGCAGAATTCCGATCGATCTCTAGTAAAAGTGTCAATAATGTGAGATAAACCGAGCCTCTTTGATTTTCACAATTGTAAAGGTAACGGTAAAAGTTATGGTATTGGGTTTCAGAGTTAAGTAGAATCATGTATGGCAGCAAGAATGGTCAAACGGAAACATTTTAACGATACACGAACAACGGTAACGGCGATAGTTAATGTAGAGACTTTTTGAAAGACGCGAAGAAAGGGTTAGATTGTTTCTACAGAATGACAACGTAAAACTGTCCTAGTTAGGATGAATTTGCGAACGGAGTACAGTTGAAATATCCGCTTGTTTCCCGGCCATTTAAAGCCTCACCAGTTCACATTTAACCCAGTGAGGTAGAGATGGAGGGAGGGAGAAGAAGAGTCTGTTTTCTCGAACAGTTGCTTCTCCTCTCGGTGCAGGCAGCAACGTTCGAATCTACTCGGCACAATGAAGCACTGCCGGCAGACAACTATCGTTATGCGGATGTAACAATGGGCCAAGAATTGAGGGAGGCGCGGTCGGTGCATTACTTTTATCAGTTCTCGCGGGACATTGCCTCGCGACGCAACAATGCGTTCAGACACGTCGTCATTGTTCGTAGCCGCTCAAGAAGCACACACCACCCACCTTAGACTCTATGAATATGGGATTCCTTTGTCCCAGAGGATCCTTGGCAGTCGCGTGCATCATGGTTGCACGCGTGCAATCGCTACGCGTTCAGTTCGCCCGTTTTCACGCGATCACTCGGTGCCTCCTTCTTCGATATTCGCGCGACTTGCTCCTTGGCGTCTCGTTGCAGGAAAAAGATGTCTGTTGTGTGTCCTAGATTTAGTTTTTTTCTCCCAATCATTCGTTGAAAGGGAAGAATTTGTCTGGAATTATTCGGTTAACCCTTTGAAGCCTGATACAGGAAGAAAATGTGTTCTTTTAAAGGGCAAACATTTATCGTCGACCGAAAATTTGTTTCAGTAGAGAGCAATTTTTTTTTTTAATTGTTCGGTTAACCCTTTGAAGCCTGGTATAGGAAAAACGTATGTTTCTTTAACACGTTGACTGCTTTTGATTGTTTCCTCGATGGGGTCGTGGTGGCCAATTAAAATAAAACGAATATGGTCAACTAAAAATTTTGAAACCTAACCTAACTAGACATTATTTTAAACAAGCGTAATGTAATATTCGAAATTTTCTTGTCCCCTGAGTGCGACATGCAAACATTTCTTCTTTTTCGAGTGATTGTAATTAAAAATTTGTCAGAGTACCTCTAGGAAAACGCAGAAAAGAGTTTCCTTTCGGTTCTCTGTTGTGTTAGATTTTTCTCACTGAATAGTACACGCTCGATTTACCTCGTAGTTTATAACTATCGGAGTAAGGTCTGAAAATCGACAGTTTTACGATGTCAGCCCGTTTCTGCTGGCATTAAGTCTGATGCAAGGGCTGCTCCAGTATCTCCACGCACGTGGTGCATAGCATATGGGGTGGAGAAGAAGTGCTAGCCGGGGCAATTCCTTTCAGAATGGTAATAGGGGCTCAGGTGGCAAAGGTGATCCGAGCGTGCTTATTATGTCGATATATTCTATCCAAAGTACACTGCCAGAGAACAACAGTATCTTAACGATATATAAACCTGGATAGTTTTCTCGATCGTGCCTCATCTCCTCTGTATTCCTCTTTTATTTAAACGATCTGTTAACACGGATTGCTGTAAAAAAGGAACGCACTCTAAAAAGCAGTACACGACAATGACTCGGATATTACTAAAAAAATTGCCCACTTGTAACGCTGGAACGTCCAAACTACGCGATAAATCTCAATTACGCGAATTACATCGATTCGAACTCTCGAAACGCGTCGTGTTCCAGCTTCCCCCGCATTCCACGCTGGAATATTTTTCCGAAACTCGTGGTTTTCCCAAATAGAGAGGCGTAATTTCCTTCGATTATGCTTCGAACTGAATTTCAATGAAATTCTGGATTCACGAAAAATCAGAGACAAGAATCTGAAAGGTTCTCTACGTTCGTCAATTCCACACTCAAGTTGTTCGAAGAATGAAAAAATTCTCGAGCTCTACCGCACCTCTACGAAATCCTCCCAAAAGAGAAAAAAGGAAGACAAATCGTGAAATTGTCAAAAACCCATTCACCGCGATCATCTTCAACGAGTCGATCCTCCTCTACTCAGTCACCGTCCAAAGCGACCAGTTAATAAACGCAGCTAGAGCGAGAAGTGTCGTACCGCTAACGTTGCGTCATTTTATTCGTCCGTAATGAGCAGCGTTGGCGTAGACAGAGAAGGAGAGAGAGAGAGAGAGAGAGAGCGCGAGGTCGTGTATTAAAGAAACGAAGGAGAGCCTCGATGTTTTCACTCGAGCAGCAGTAGAAGCGGAGCAACACAGCAGTAGCGGTAGTCAGTGCGCTAGAACGGGAAAGAAAGAAAGAGACGGATAGATAGAGAGGAGAGCCATCGAGGCATCTCCCTTGGGAGTCGGTGGCCTCCTCGGGGATACAACCTCGTTCCAAGCTCCTCCAAGCCGGTTTTACCTTGGAGTATAAAGCGCGCGCAAGTACACTTGGCGAAAGGTAAGCTGAAATAATAATCGGCCGGTACAGGGAGGAACGGATAAAAGTCGGATCTCGCTTCTCCTCCAGGGAGGAAGAGAGCGCTTCGCTTCGTCGAAAAGGAACGAATCTTTCGAAAGCTTTCTCTCCCTCTCTCTCTCGTTATGTCTTCTGGTGCAGCTAGGTTACGTAACAACGGGCCGCGAAATTTTATGGGGCCGAAGATTGCCAGTGGAATCGTTAGGCGAGATTATACGAGGCTTCCTGGACTTCCTTGTACGCTGGCGCGGCGGTGTTAACGGGGTGCATAGGTGGTTGCTAAATGAAATTCGTCTTGGGTAAGGTGTTGGAGTGACGAAGGTGTAGCATTCTGGTTGAGTTGCGAAGCAGTATGTCGAGGGAAGGCGAGAAGTTTCCTTCTAGGTCTAGAAATTCGTTCGTTTCTCTCTCTATTTCTGTGGAATACGAAGAGGAGGGAGTTTAGAAACGTGTATCAGATTCTTCTTTCGAATAAAAGGCATTTCATCTATGTTAATACACGTCTGAGAAATGACTGGCAGGACGAGCTATAGGGTAGAAAGTTTAACGAGCAGAGTGGCGAATCTTTCCATAGGATGATACTCGCGTGTACACGCTGATGCGTATCATCCGTGTATTACGATTATCCTGGGAATATTGGCTCGGTTTCATCCTGAAGATCGTCGCTCGAGGGGATGGGCCAGGTTAAC